AAAAGCCTTGTGACAAATATATATGTGTGTGTGTGTGTGTGTGTGTGTGTGTATATATATACTCACACATATAATTAGTGAAACATAATAAATTTTCACTTTGGCCATGTCCCAAAAATGTCTCATTTTTTACTCAGAGCCCCACACCTTTCTATCAGGAAGTAAGGGAGCACATTTCATCATTAATCCTCTGGAATTATGTTTGGACATTACATTGATCAGAGTTCCTAATACTTTCAAAGTTGTTTATTGTTACCATATTCTTGTTACCATGAATTTTTTTTTACTATAAATTGTTCTCCTGATCACTTCACTCCGTATTAGTTCATACAAGCCTTCCCAGATTTCTTTGAAATCATCACTTTTATCATTTCCTATGGTACAGTAATATTGCACCATCTTTATATACCATAACTTACTCAGCCATTCCCCAATTTATGGGCATCCCCTCAGATTCCCATTTTTTGCTACTTCAAAAAGAGTTATAACATTTTTGAACATCCTTGGAGTTTGTTTTGCTTAGGACTAATCTCTCCTTTAATCTACTATTCCTCTATTTCCCCCTTCCTCCCTTTCCTTTCTATTTCTTTGTGGAATAAAATACATTTTTGTACCCAAGTGTGTATATATGTATTCTTCCCTCCTTTGACTAGTACGTATGTGAGTGTGGTTCAAATGTCAGCGATTCAAACATCAGCTGCTCTCCCCAGTCCATCCTCCTCGCTTGTAAAGATGTCTACTTGAGTACCCTGATTATGTGAGATTTTTTTCTTAATCTTCCTTTCTCTTCCCTCCCCAGTATACTTCTCTTTCCCTCTCTTTATATTCTTTTTCCCCACTTAATAGGATTTTATTTTTCCCAATTACGTGTAGTTTTCAACATTCACTTTTTTTGCATCTTTTTTTTGGTAAGGTAGATATTGAGCTCTGTCATTAAGTAGATTTTTGAGCTTGAATTCAGCACTTTCTCATTTGTAATTTTCTAGTAACAATAGAGAGGTGGAGAAAAGGCTGAGGAAAGGGTAAATCGGGTTGTAGATCTAGACCCAGACTTGGATACCTCAGAGGTCATCTAATCTAATGCTTACTTTGTGGTTTAGGAAACTGAGGCTTAGGATGGTTAGTTAAGTGACTTGCACAAGGTTCTATAAGCAGTAAGTGCATGTAAGTGGGGGCTAGATGATTCCTCAGGCCTTATTTAGCCCTAATATTCTGTGATTGGGTGATTTTTGTGATCCTCTTCATTGGACCAGAAATAATTTTGCAAACAGTTGACTTCTTTTCACAGAGGTGCCTGTAGGTGGGAATCAGCATTCACTTTTATAAGATTTTGAGTTCCAGATTTTTTTCTCCTCTCCAAGACGGCAAGCAATCTGATGTAAGCTATACATGTATAATCATATTAAACGTATTTCCACATTAGTCATGGTGTGAAAGAAGAATCAGAACAAAAGGGAAAAACCATGAGAAAAAAAAGCCTCTCTTTTTATTCTTAAGATCATCAACATATAATAGAACCATTCCCAGGCTTTCTGTCTAATTAAACTCACTCTATGACCCCTGATGATGATAGGGTTCAGAGAGGATACTCATATCATCTCCTTATATTAGAATGGAAGCAATTTATCTTTAATTCCATATCATTATTTGACCACGTTTACCTTTTTATGGTTCTCTTAACTCCTGTGTTTGAACTTCAGTGTTTCTATGCAGCCCTGGTCTTTTCAGCAGGAATGGTTTACAAGTCCTCTGTTTTGTTAAAGGTCCATTTTCCTCCTGTAGCATATTCAGTTTTGCTGCTATAAGCCTGTATCTTTTGCCTTCTAGAACTATTGTATTCTGAGTTCCCTACTCTTTCATAATGGTGACTGTTAAATCATATAACTTAGCAGTAAGTACCTAGGGGTCTGACTGTGGCTCCTTGGTACTTGAATTCTTTCTTTCTGGCTATGCTTGAAGCATTTTAAAAAAAAATAAACTTTTCCCTGCAGTCTCTGGATTTTGGCTATAATGTTCCTGGGAGTTTTCATTTTGGAGTTGTTTTTTTTTTTTTTCAGGAGGTGACTGGTGGATTCATTCTGTTTCCAATTTGCCCTCATGTTAAGAGATCTGATTAATTTTCTTTTAAGAGTTATTAAAAAATGATGCCTGGGCTCTTGTTTTAGTCATGGCATTCACGTAGTATGATAATTCTTAGATTTTTTTTCTCTTCAATATGTTTTCTGTCAGTTATTTTTGGTCTGAAATTTCTTACATTTTATTCATTTATTTTTTAGTCTTTTGATTTTGTTTTAATATTTCTTGTTGCCTCATGGGAGTCATTCATTGGCTTCTATTTGGTCCATCCTAATTTGCAGGGAGTTCGTTGTTTGGGCAAGATTTTGTACCTCTAGTGCCGAGCTGTTAATTCCCTTTCCAATCCCATATCTCATAGTTCACATTTCTTTTTTACTCTAGTGCTCTTATTTCATTGACACAATATTCTTTAACTCTTGCTTTGGGAATTCAGTTTGTGCCCAAGCTATGTTTTTCCCTGAGGCTGTGCTTGTAGATGTTTTGAAGGTGTCTTGAACATCCTTGCTCGCTCATCAAGAGGAGGTTCTTTTTTGTTTGCTCTTTCTCCCAGCCTACTTCTTGACTCCAGATCTGAGGTTGGGTCTGGATTCTGGGGCAGTTACGGAGGGAAAGTCTGCGGTGGTCCTCTTGCTGCTTTCTTGGAATATTGTGTGTTGTATTATTCCAGGATCTCGGGGACAGCTCAGTCTGGGTACCTGTAAGCTTTCAGTGCCCCAGAAGTAGTCTGATCCAGGGCAGAGTTGGATTGTTGTCCCCCTCTTCTGAGCTTTGCAAATTCCTGACCTGAGAAATAGTAGATGCTGCTGGACTCAGCCCCCATCAGCCACTTGGGAACTTCTGCAGGTTCAGATTAACAACTGCAGGCTCCCCTTTGATCTGGACTTCTTGCCTTGGTTATTCCTCTGTAGGCTTCAGACTGGGCTTGAAGCTGGAAATGAGACCCTGCTTTGCTCCTGGGATAGGAGCCACACCACTGCTGCTAACTTCTGAACCTGTACTCTGCAGGAGGAATGGGGGGTGCTGTGGGGAGTGGGAGGGGGGAGGGAAGGCACAGGTCTCCCCTTCTCGTCCTGTTCTGGATCTGTGATCCAGGTAACGGGCAACAAAGCTGTCTGCACCTTTTTCACTTGCCATGCCCTGTAAGGGTCTGGGGGTATCTGGGTATAGTTCTGAGACTTCCTTTTGACCTACTGCACAATCTCTTCTTATACTGGAATGCTCTGGGCATCCACGCTTCTGGCCAGACTCCGTTTCCACAGTGTCCGCAGACCTCTTTTCCTGTTTCCCAATGCAGACCTGGGCTGGAGAAATGACTCACTGTGACTTTTTCTTGGATTTCTCCATCAGGATTTGATCTGGTACATTTTGTGGGTCTGTTTGGAATTTTTCAGGGGCAGCTTGCTGTGCTGTTTCCTGATACTCTGCCACCTTTCCACCTTACACCACCCCCACACACACATAGAGTGTGATATAGTGACACTGGCCTCCTGGCTGTCCCTCACACAAACCACTCCAGCTCCCAACACTGGGCCTTTTCTTTGGCTGTCCTCCCACGGAACAGTGTCCCTCCTAATCCTGTTTCCTGGCTTCCTTCAAGTCCCAAATATATATGTGGATGTGTGTGTGTATAAATAAATAAACAAACAAGCAAATAAAGACATAAATATGTTGTATATAGGTGTTTGCATGTTATCTCCCCCTCATATTAGACTGTGAGCTCTTTGAGGACAGGGACTATGGTTTTTACCCTTTTTTTAGATTCCCCTGTGCTCAACACAACACCTGGCACTTAATAAATATATATTACCTGTTGACAGTTAATTAGCCACGCCTTTGCTTTAGGGGTCTAGAGTTTCGTCAGTGATTTTACTAGTGGGAGCCTTCCCTTCCGAGAAGCAGCTCTGAAACCCTTTCCATAGGAGTATGACCTTGTAGAATCTTAGATGGAGATTGGACCTGAGAGGTCATCTTATGTACTACCCCCCTCACTTGACAGGAGAGACACTAAGTGATTGACCTGACATCATACGGTAACCAAAGGCAGAGCCGGGATTCTAATCCACTTTGTCCAACTCCAGACCTAGCCCTCCTTCCCTGCATTGCCTTGCTGCTTCTCAGCAGACCATCTTCATGCATGTTTGTGGCCAAAAACATTCACTACCTGCTGGTCAACCTCTCCACAAATAGCTAGGTTTGTTCTTGGAACATAGACAAAAAGGCCATCACCCTGCTAGAACTCTTTCAAACAGCTTGGTTGTAGGCCCCACCAGAGTTTATGTTGTACTACAATAGACCCTAGATGAATTCAGCTGTACACCATGATGACCATCAGACCCAGGGCTGTACAGGAGCCAGACCAGCTCCTGAGAACTGATGATTAAATCTTCAGTGTGAGCATTCACACCTCAGCAAAGCTACAAACCAAGACTTGATTTGCTTTGTTGATTGTCTAGAGCCAGGGATGGAGAACCTGCAGCCTTCCAGGTCCTTGGGTGCAGCCCTTTGACTGAGTCCATGTTTTGCAGAATAAATTCTTTTATTAAGGGGATTTGTTCTGTGACGTTTGGATTCAGTCAAAGGGCCATACTTGAGGACCTAGGGACCACATGTGGCTTTGAGGCTGCATGTACCTTACCTTTGGTCTAGACCATGATGGAGAAAACTAATAATGCACTAAAAGTGTCCATGCATGCATTTTTTTCTGGGGAGCCCTCAAATAAATATTTACCAACATTAACCACACGCTATTGATAAGACTTAAGAAAATGTTTACATTTTCTTTGTTTTTCTGTTAGAATGCTGAGGTTAACTGCAAACAGACTTTAAAATGCTGACATTAACTTCAATTAATGATTGGAGTCCTTTTTGTGGAAATTATTGCATGTAACTTTTGCTTGTATTACAAAGAAATCTCTCTCTTTCAGAGATTAAACCTAAGGAAAAATCGACAGATCCTTCTTCAGAAAAATGGTACCAAAGTGAGCAGAAGCAGAGTGGTGATCAGAACTCAAAAACTCACTCCCCAAGCCAAAAAGCTAATGAAAAAGACAATTGTCATAGGTAATGTCACATTTAACGATAGCCTCTTGATATTTTTTGTGGAAGGCTAGGACAAAAGAAAGTAGTATGGAATGAGCTCCTGAATCTCCTTAGATAGGATAGAACTATCCTAAAAACTATTATTGGAAAATGCTCTGTAAGCAGTGTTAAATAAAAATGTAAAAAAAAAAAAGTATTGATCCTACACATTGGTGGTATCAAACTCAAATCCCTGGGGCTCCATAAGGACTTAGAAAAGCACACAGTATTATTATATATATTCCATTGTATTTTCAATTATTTTGTTAAATATTCCCCAATTACATTTTAATCTGGTTCAGGTGGCACTCAGGAGGGCTGCCTGTGGAGTATTTGATATCTCTGCTGGACACATTAAAAGGAAAGAGTTAAACAGTTTTCTTTCAGGCATCCAGCTTCCTAACTACCATGTCTCATCACTCACTTTTCTCTTTTATTCATCCTGATTTTCTTTTTCTTTTTAAAAATGTTTTGTTGCATTTTCTTTTAATCCAGCAATCACTTCCCAACAATGCCCAAACAAAACCCCACCCTTCACAGAAAGCAAGGAAAGGAGTGGATGTTTCCTGTAACTTGAACAGTACGTGACTGTGGAGACCGACTAGAGTTGGGTCGCCATGACTCCATGTTGATCTCGCTCACATTGTGGAATCACTATGTGGACAGTTCCTTTGCCTCGGCCTTCTTTACCCTCTAGTAATCTTCATTCAGAATTTCTCAAATTCCTCCAAATCCTTCCTGTTTATCATCCCTTAGGTACAGCTGTATTTCATTTGATTCACATGTTTATTCCCTAATTGTTTGGCCACGTGTTTTGTTTCTAGCTCTTTACTGCCATAACTAGCGCAATGATGAGTGTTGATGTACATGTGTCAGTAATATCCTTGAGATGTAGTCCCAGTAGTAAAATTTCTGGATCAAAGGGGATGAACAATTTCATTTAACTTTGTGGGATAGTTCAAATTGTTTAACATAAATCTTATAACTGACTTTAAAATCACTTAATTTACTTTGTTATGATTTCAGAATGACTAAAAGCTTCCTTAGAAAACTTTGCAAGGACCAAAAATTGTATATGACTCCAGCATTAAATGACACGCTTTATTTACACTTCAAAGGTAAGACTTCTGTTTTCAGACAGGCATGGAAAGTTCACCTGTGAACCTAGCAGGCAGCTGCGGTGGCGTGGGAAGAGGGCTGGGCATGGAGTCAGAAAGCCAGGATCTAGGCCTAATCTTTCCCTTGCGGGCTGGGTGACCCTCCTGCACAGGATGCTCGGTGGGCCTCAGCTTCTTCTCTGAGAACAGAAACCTCACAATACCTTCTGTACCCATTTTGAAGATTACTGTCAGTGAGATCATGTATATAGAGTGGTTTGTAGGAAGGAAGGAAATAAGCATTTATTAAGCACCTCGTATGTAACAGATACTGTGCTCTAAATACTTTACAGATACTCATTTGATCCTCGCAACAGCCCTGATTGCTGTTTCTTTAATGAAGGAAGTAGGAATTGGGGCCAGAAGTTTGCCCACTCTGCTCTCCAGAGAGGCAGAGTACTGGGCTGGAATTAGACCTATCTGCTTCCTTCAATATTATCGGTCTAAGGGATGTTTATCAGATTCATTCTACCTTCTGATTGTTGTTTCATCAAGAGAGAGAGGGGCATAATGGGGAGCAGGAAGCAGGACTCTTAGGTTTATATCCAAAGCTTGATTCCCTTTCCACCAAATACAAATTTCCACAACGAAAGCACATAGAAATTAGCAAAGAAACCTGTTTATCTAATTTGATAGCAGACAGAAACCAGAGAAAGTATCCAAAAGAGTGTGCGCGCGCACACACACACACACACACACACACACCACCCCCAGATAAGACAGGGCGAAGGAGCTCTCCCACTGGGAATGAGATAAGTCAGCTCGGCTGAGAGTCTCAGATCTCACCCAAGGAGAAGTTCCCAAGGTCTCTAGTGTTGCAGTCTGGGGACAGGACGTAGTGGAGACTGCCAGCTCCCCTTACGTTGCCTTCCTCCCAGAGTCTCAGCAACCTGAAGTGAGGCTGGCCTCAGCCATCTTCTCTCTGGAAGCCCAGAGCACCCCGAATTCTAACAGACTCGGCAGCCTGAGGACAACAGAGGAGCTGTCCTCTCTCCTGCCCTCGCCAGCTCTGCTCTGCCCCTCACACAGGCACAAGGCATTGATCATCTCCACTAAGGAGAAAGTCCCATCCCAGTGAACTGGGGTCACTGTGGATTTACACTTTTTGGGAAAACCGTTTCCAATACAACAATGTCAGTAAAATCATAATAGGCTTAGGTAGGTAGGCGTTCCTCAAATACAGTGCTGTCATTTTGTGGACGCTTGGTCTTGTCTTGTTCCAGTCTCATGGGTTCAACTAAGAGCTGTTTACCTTCCAAGTCATTCCCTTCAGACCTGACCTTTGATCTGACCCTTCAGCCTTCCAAGTACCATACTGCGATTATTGTGAAAACTTGCTGACTTCACTATTTCTACCTCTCCCTTCCTGAGTTCATCCTGTATAGAAAGGCCAGACAAAAACTGCTCCCTAAATCTATGTTCGTGCTACTGTCTTAAGAGCCTACAATGACAACTCCCTGTCCATCATGTCCAATCCAAACTCTTCGTGTTGGTTTCTCGCTCTCCATAACCCGGTCCCGCTTTACCCAATCTTTCAGCCAGGCCAGTCTCCCCTGCCCCTTACACACGTATTAGTTTCATTAACTGTTCACTCATGGCATTGTTTACTCATGTGAGGGATGCTCTTTGATTATTCAAGGCCTATGTGACTTCTACCTCCAGGAAGCCTCTAAAGCCCATTAAGGCCATCTCTATTTTCTGACTTTCTTCATTTTTATTTTATTCTTTAAAGTATTACTATCTGAACCATACATTCTGTCCCTTAATTATATGCAATGTAGCACTTAAAAATGCTTTTTCATTGTTTTCACTAATTGTTTCATGCCACCCCCTCTGCCCTCCAAAGAGAGAAAGTAAACTCTTGCTAAGAGCCAGTGTCATGGCCTCTAGCACAATGCTGAATCATAGTAAGCGCTCAATAAATACTCGCTGAATTTAATTTTCCAACTGAAACACCTCTCTTGTGTACCCCCCTTTTGCCTTTCATCTCCATGCACTTTCTCCTCCTTACCAGCCTTGGCATTCACCCAGCTTACAAGCACGGGACTGATACCTTAGACATGAGAACTGTGGGCTAACCCCACTCCACCCCCCCTCATTTGATAGATGAGGAACCTGACGCCTAGAGCCAGAGAGGGAGCTTGCATGAGATCAGAGCCAGTGAGAAGCCTAGCCAAAGCTCTACCCCCAGCAGCCTAGCTCTGGAGCCTAGGGGGTTTTCTACAAAAAAAAAAAAATCATAGACTTGAAACAGGATCAATCATGTATATATTTTGCCCATTCTATTATGATCGGCTTTAGGTGAAACTAGATGAAACTAGATTGGTATTTGCTTCAGAGCAAGTAGGTGGTACAGTATGATACAGCACTGGGCCTGGAGTCAGGGAGACTTAAGTTCAAATACAGCCTCAGACATGGACTAACTGGGTGACCTTGGGCAAGTCACTTAACCACTGTCTGCCTCGGTTTCCTTGACTGTAAAATGGGTATAATAATAGCACTTACCTCACAGGGATGTTGTGAAGATCAAATGAGGTACTGTATTTGCAAAGTGCTCAGCACAGTGCCTGACACATAGTAGGCACTATATAAATCCTTTTTTCCTTCTTTCCTCTTCATTTTTCCCCTCTGTTGTACACCTCCTTCATTTCCACCCCCAACCATCCTTGGGCATCACAGCTTTCAAACTTTGGTTAGAAAAGTGAGGGAACAGGCTTAGAGCAACAGTGGCTGGCAATCCTGGTCATCTGGAGCTAAGAATGGACAAGCAGGTAAAAGAGAAGGGCAGGAGACAATGGACTTAAGGGAAAAGATCCAGGTGGTGGAGGGAGGGGGAGCTAGGACAGTGCAGGATAAAGAACCAAGGTGCTAATCCATCAATAAGTGCCTGCTGTGTGCCAGGCACTGTGCTAAGCACCAGAGATACAAAAACAGACAAAAGACAGTCCCTGCCCTCAAGGAGCTCACAGTCTAATAGGAGAGACAACACATAAACAAATACATACAAAGCAAGCTCTGTGTGGGATAAATAGGAAACAATCAACAGAGGGAAAGCACTGGAATTAAGAGGGGTTGGTAAAGGCTTCCTCTAAAAGACGGGATTTTAGTTAGTCATACGTAATCCTTCTCCAATCACCATGGCAGTTTCACTCACTTACAGGGCCCATCCTCCCCTCTTGTGGCTTTTTCCCCTTCTAGGACAAAGAGATGTCTCACTTTATACAACACATAGCACCTCACTGCCATAAGTGGGGGAATATGGACTGGAAATAGAAAGTGTTTCCTAAGAGGTTTAAATACAGGTGTTAGAATGGCAGGCATATAATAAGGAAAGTACATTTGGACCTTCATTTTTACCTTTTGGATTTCAGCATCCGAGAGGTCAGTGATACTCTTCCATAAGTTCTTTTGTTATGCTGTTAAGGCATGGAATAGTAGGATGAGTTAGATACTCATTCATTCCACAAACATTTATTGAGACCCTGCTTTGTTCAGACAACAAGCTTCTGTCCTAGAGGAATTACAAAGTTTAGAGAAGCCCCTACTTTTGTAGAGTTTATGATGTAGTAGAGTCATAAGACATAAACATAGGTTATTCTCATATGTAGAATTTCATCATACCTGCCTTAGAGTGATATATCACAGAACACTATGTCAAGTCCCAGGGTATTAGGGAAAGCTTCCAAGAGGAAACAGCAGGGCATAGATCGGTCCAGATTATCTGGACTATAGAGCATGGGGACACTAAAAACACGAGACAAAGCTGGCACCCTCATAGAGGGCCTGGAGCATCCTGCACTATGGATCAGGCCGTGACCCAGCTTCTTTTAAGTAACGTGTCTCTAATTCTCACTCTGCTGACATCCAGTTCCTTTTAGCTTCATCTGCATGTTCATTTGCTCTAGGTTTTGACTGCATTGAGAACCTGGAAGAGTATACAGGATTACGGTGTCTTTGGCTGGAATGTAATGGGATACAGAAAATTGAGAACCTGCAGGCGCAGACAGAATTGCGTTGCCTCTACTTGCAATTAAATTTAATTCATAAAATTGAGAACCTTGAACCCTTGAAAAAACTGGATTCCCTCAACCTCAGTAATAACTATATCAAGACCATTGAGAACCTGTGTAAGAAGTGCCATGTGCTAAGTGTCCATTTCCCATCATATCCATTACTTTCCTACTTCTGAACCTTTTCCATAATCTTTGGTGTTGACCCTTTAATCTGGCTGTAATTATCTTTCAGCTTGCCTCCCAGTTCTAAACACACTACAGATTGCTAACAATCACCTAGAGACCGTGGAAGACATTCAGCACCTAAAGGACTGCCTAAGTATTTGTGTTCTTGACCTTTCCAACAACAGGCTGAGTGATCCGGATATCCTCTGTGTCCTGGAAGCCATGCCTGATTTGGTAACCAAGCCTAGTCAATTAGCCTTCACCCATTCTATCCATCAGCCAATCAACAAGGATCTATTAAGTACCTCCCAAGTGCTAGGGACTCTCAGAGGTGCTGGGATGGAATGAAGTCATTCCTCTTCTTAAAGGAGCTAAGAATCTATAACTGTAGCCTAATAACCCTAAATTTTCTGCAGTTTTCTGCATGTTCAGTTCTGGGTACCTCATTTGAGGAAGAACATTCAGGAAAGACCTTTGAGTCTCACATCATTAGTCGTATGACTTTGGGCAAATCATTTAACCCCTCTGAGTCACAGTTTGCTCATCTGTAAAATAGAGATAATGATATTTTTGCACTACCTGCCTTAAAGGGTTTTTGTGAGGAAAATTCTTTATGGGTATGAGTTGTAACAAACTGCATCATATCCAAAGGAGGGCTGCCTAGATGGGGAGGTGACTAGACACCACCCTCCGTAGGGATACTTAATAGGGGGAATAACGAGAATTAAGAGGGACAAGGGAAAGAGTTCGATGTTCAGCTTGACTACTGAAGACAAAATAGGAGCAAGGGAGAGGCAGATTCCAGCTCCATGTGAGGGAGAACGTCCTAATTTTTGGAGCAGCCGCAAGGAAACGGACTCTGCGCCAGAGGGTAGCGGAGTTCTCTAAGAAGAGGCTGAATGTGCCCTTTTCAGGGCTGTTAATAGAGGAAATTCCTGGAGCTGGTGACCTCTGAGATCTGGGATTCCAGAGGGAAAGTAATTATTGCAAGCATAGAGACTTTTGAAAATGTTTTTACCTACCTGTTATTATATCTGATGACCTACCTTGAACTCCTGAAAGCAGAAGAGGTGTTGGTGAAAATCTGAGGAGTACAGGCAGGTGCTGGGGATATCCAAGTACTTAATCCATATTATAACTGCTCTCTTCTTCCTCTGAAGGGCTAAGTGATCAGCAAGGCCTGGAGGGTCTGTCCCCCCAGTGACATTCCCAGAAGATGGAGGTATCTTTATGGCTAAGGCAAAGGCTCTTGTGTCTGACAAGCAGTACTTTTGATTTTCAAGTTGCTTCTGGTTGGAAAGGGATACACTGAGTAAATGAGACCTAGGTTGAGTCTACTTAAATAGACTGAAGTAGCAAAAATAATTTAATTAATAGAGATGGATAGTGCCATGAATAAATTTGTCTCAGAACTTAGTGATCATCCAATGTGGGGCTCACCATTTTCGTGTCCTGGTCCTCTTTGGCAGTCTGGTGATGCCTATGAAAGTATTGAAATACTCTTCTTAATAATGTTTTTAAATCCATAAAATAAAACGCATAGGTTTGTAAGGAAAACCAGTTCTATTGAAATAAAGGTATAATTTTTTTTCATTCAAGTTCACAGACCCCACCTGAAATTGGGGTCCATGGCCCCAGGTTACTCATAATCCTTGACCTAGATTCTAGTATAAATTCCTAATTTTACAGGAAAACTGAGGCCTAGAGAAAGGAATTAATTGTGTGTCCAGTCACACAAAACAGGGAAAGGAAGGGAGTGGGAATAAGCATTTACATAGCACCTACTACATGCAGGACACTGTGCTAAGCACTTTATCTCATCTGATCCTCTCAAAAACCCAGGGAGGTAGTGCTGTTATCCCCATTTTATAGATGAGGAAACTGAGGTAGACAGAGGTAAGTGATTTGCCCAAGGTCACCCAGCTAGTGAGTATCTGAGGATTTGAACTCAGGTCTTCCTGACTCCAAGCTCAGCTCTATATCCACTTTTACCATCAGATGCCTCAATAATCATTTAGTTAGAGAACAGTTTGCATTATTCTTGAAAACCTCATGAATAAAATTTCAAACCATGGCTACATGTTCAAAGAAAAGGCCATTCAGTTACCTGAAGAATTCTAGTAAAAAAGCAATTCCTAAATTATCTGATAAAGGATTTGATAAGACATGACTTTTTTGTGCAGATGTATCTCATAAATTCATAGCTGCTTAATGCATAGAACATGGAAATATCTGAATCATGTCATTTTCATTGCCATTACTTAATTTTATTGTGCTTCTTTGCTCATAGCGTGTACTGAATTTGATGGGAAACACAGTGATTAAAAAAATTCTGCACTACAGAAGAACTGTTACCATTCGACTCAAAGTCTTAACCTACCTGGATGATAGGCCAGTTTTTCCAAAGGACAGGTAAAAATAATTATGATGAGTTTAATAGACAACATTTGCCTCTCACCTTATAGTTCACCTTATTTTCACAAATGTCCCATTTGATCTTCCAAACACCCCTGTGAAGAAAAGTATGAGTACTTTATCCCATTTTACGGATGAGGAAACTGAGGTTCAGAGAGATTTCTTAGCTCACTTGTAGTCATATGGATTGTTAAGTAACTAGAAGTGGGACTCAAACCCCCTCTCAAGTGCAATATTCACTGGGTAAATTTTAATTTTTTAGACTGTCAGATATAACATCATGCTTTAATAATTTAGATTTTTATTTGAGGAGTTTGAAATACAGAATGTTTTGAAGAGAGTTTTATTCCATATTTTCAAATACACATTCACTGAAACCAGCTTCACTAAGTAGATCTGCTTTAGAGACTAGTTTAGAATGCTAAGACACGTTAGCACCATCCATCACTGGGCTGGCATTGCCTGGCAGAGCCTCCAGAGCCCACCTCTACACCAGCAGACTGGGCCTTTAAGGAAGATGTGAAGTCAGGTGACTTTTTTAAAAGGAAAACTAACCCATAACCTGTTTTCTTTCTTGTATGCAAAGAATGGTTATAAATAGGTTCACTAGTTTTCCACTGAGAGAAAATAAATTTTTGGTTGCCCAAATATGTGCTCTTATTTTCTTTTGAATTACAGATTTTTAAATCTCACACACACCCCACCCATAAGTTATTCTGAGGCATTCTGTGCTTTTCGCTTCTAAACAGAGCGTGTGCAGAAGCCTGGGCTAGGGGAGGGAGTGAAGCTGAGAAGGAAGAAAGGAGGAAATGGGAAACCAAAGAACGGAAAAAGATTGAGGAGAGCATTGATGCGTTGGCCATGATCAGGCGAAGAGCTACGGAGAAAAAGAAACAAAAAGAAATGGAGGAAAAAGGTATCCTGGGTAGAGAAAGCAACAGTCACCAGCAGGGCCCATTTGGAGAAGGAGCCTACATTCTAACCCTTTTGGCCGTTAACTTGAGAGGCAGCTTGGCCTGGCAGCTCACCCCAGAAGACCTGGGTTCACCTGGGTGTGAACATCTTGTGGCTGTGTGATCCTGGGCATGTCACTTAATTATTCATTGCCCTGAACAACGTGGATAAATTGCTGACGTGCATCAGCCGAGGAATTTGTACACTGGGAGTTCCCTAGACTGATGAAAGCACCCTCTTTCACTGGCTGATAACCTTAACCTAATATTCCTTGTCTTAAGGTAGCCTATCTGTAATTGCCTCAAGTCGGCTCATTTGCAGATTGGCAGACAGGACTTGGTCAAAAGCAGAGAAAAATTTGACCCAGACTTTGAAAAAGAGTTAATTTTTCAAAATAACCCTTGTTGAGCTAGAAAATAACTCATCATATAATTAAATAAATTGTATTAATTCATTTTAGGTCTTAAATTCATAATTTTATACTAATTTAATTGCTTTTAACTCACTGAGTTTTTAAATCAATTTTTAAAAATTATTAGTATTATTATTATGACTATTATGTATTGTCCATTTACATCCTCTTCTGTCGGATACTTTTTCATGATGCAGAAGCTGCTCTGGGTTCTTGCAGGCTGTGTCAGGAGCTGGCAGGTTCCACTCTGTTAGGTGAAAGAGGTTAAGAGGAAATTCCTCAGATGGCCCTGACCACAAGTCGCGTGGTCCTGCTCTTTGGAGAGAGGGTCCTGGCCAGGTTGGCGTTGGGCTGGTCTTGACATTGGCTGTGTCAGAGCAGCTTGTAGTTAAGTATCAGGAGAAGCAGTCCACACGCCAACCACCAGCATTCAAGCTCACGGCTTCCTAACTTCAGGTCTAACATGCTCTACCCAGTGTCCCAGGCTGCTCTGAGGATCCCTCACAGGGACCCCTTCATGCAGGCGCCTGCATTGGGAGTCAGTGCCCTAGGACGTTTGTGAGTCATGAATCATGGGCACTTATTATAATTACTTGGTACTGTTATCAATACCTTCGAGGACGTGTACGTCACCTCCCCAGTGAGCTCCTATGCTCCTAGAAGGCCAGGGATGTGTCTACTTCAGTTTTATCCCTCTTGGTGCCTACTTTTGTTTGGGTGTTGGGGTTCTGTGCACACCTGTGGGGTTGACGGACCCCAGCTTCCACTCAGAGCCAGCTAGTGCTCTGGCCTGCCTGAAGAACGCTGCCCAGACCATTGGGGTGGGGTGGTGGAATAACGGTCACCATCACCATCATGGCTAGTCTGTGCATCCCATCTAAAGATTTACAAAGTGCTTTACAAACATATTATCTCATTTGAGCCTTGTGGCAACCTTGGAAGGGAGGTGCTATTGTGATCTGCATTTTACAGATGAGGAAACTGAGGCAAGCAGAGGTTGTGACTTGCCCAGGGTCACCCAGCTCATCAGTGTCCGAGGCCTGATTCCTGAGCGCTACCCATTGTGCCTCTTCATAGCCCTTGTTGTGTAGGGAAGTGAAGGGAGTACGTGGGTGTCAGCTGCATATTTAGGAGGGCTCCCTGTCTTACAGCTGGCGCCCCATCAGATCCCCCATCACTTCCTAACATTTGCACAGACATAAGCCTGAAATGCTCCCCTTCTTCAATCTCTAACTCCATGTAGGAGAAATTCCACCACCAAACAACAGTGTGAGTGCTGATCCAGACACAGAGGGAGGTCCGCAGCCCACTGCTGAGGAAGCCACGAGGCAGAAGATAGAGAAGTTTGTCCAAGAGAGTTTTGAGGCCCAGGATGAAGCCTTTTCCGAAGACTCTAGTGTGGAAAGTGAGGCACCTACTGAAGCTCAAGGAGAAAGCCAGGAGAAGGGCTCAGACCCAGACTTTCCAGCGAAAGACACAAAGCGCCCAGACCCCGGAGCTGCGCAGGAAGGTAATGGCCAGTCAAGAGATAGCTGGAGCCCAGAGCAGAGCCGGGCCTTACTCCAGTGAGTGAGTTACAGAGTGGAACATCCGCTGAGAGCTGTCAACAATAAACGAATCGGACCCTAGAGTCAAGTGAAGTGTTCTTTAGTATCTGAGTTATCATTAAATGTCTGGGAGGTGGGAATAAACACAGGTAGTCAAGTGGTGCAAAGGGAGCTTGGGTGGCACTCGAGATCTTTTTCATTGCCTTAAACTCAGGCTAATCCAGAGCCCTCCCTGAGCAGTGACTTGTTGGCAGTGGCCAGGAGAGGTCTGGCCAGCTCTGGGTAATCCCCACCCCAGGCTGCACTCGTCCCACCCTTTCTCTCCCTGTCCTCTTGGTCTTTTTAAGACTTCCCATTCCTGATCCCACCTCTGTCAGCATCCATCTTGGGGGACCCATAGCTGTGCCTGCCACAGAGACACCCCCCCCAGGCCAGCCCGTGCCCTTCTGGCACTGAGGCCTGTTGAGAGGTGGCTTGGTAAATGCAGGATCAGGGGTCAGGGGAGGGATGGCCTTCCAGCCATTGCAGCCTCACCTCTGTTCTTGGTAGCAGCCTTTCGTAATCCCTCAGGTTCCAAGGGGACTGCTTATATTTTTTAGGTTGGTTAAATTGGTGGCTTCCTAGGGCCTGACAAGGAGGAACTATTGTCTCAGTACCAGGCCTCCAAATGATGCTGTATACACTAATACCATCCAAAGGACGTAGATTCTTATTAGCTCCTGTCCCGGAGGGGCCCAGATGTTTTATTAGGAGATTAATGTTGATCATCAGTACAACCAACTGAACATGCTTAGTGATTTTGACATTTCAGTTCATTCACCGCACCAAGCGTCAGGACGATTCTCGAGTCACTTCAGGCCCTCATCCAGATTCTTTGTTCATCCATGCTCACAGCTCCTTCTGTGGGGTCATACAGAGCAGACGTGTGCCTTACTTTTCTAGTCCTGAATTTTTCTCCTTGCCTTATTTTGTACAGCTTTTCCCAGATTTCCTTTTATGGTGGGGGTGGCCCTTTCTAACCTCAGTGTCTTGTCCTTGTCCATAGGCACTTCATCCTAGATCTTGGGCCTATTTTCCTTTGTCCATCTTACTCTTAGACCTGTTTTGCTCTGTTTATCAACTAGAAAACAGCCTACAAAATTAATTCCTACAAAAAAAAGGATATATGCAATATTTACTGTTCCTTAGAATCAACATTAAAAGCTCTGACTGCAGAAAAGGCAGAAGTGGACGGAGCTGAGGAATTAGAAACCTTTGAATTGGAGGCAAACGACAAGCTCTTCATTGATGTATGTAATGGTTGCCCATGGTGACTAATATTTGCTTTACAATTAGTAGGCTATCTAGTCAAATATGGCTCAGCTCCCAAGTCAATCTGTCCGTAACATGGCCACCTAGTGTGTCACTTCATCAAAGGGGGCTGGTTGGTGCGTTATGTAAAGCACAAGATTGAAAATCAGAGGACTGGGTCCTATTCTCAACTCTACCACTAACATGTCAGGAATTTGGCCTAATAACTTAACTTCTCTCAGTCTCCATTTTCTCCTCTATAAAATACAGGGTTGGACTAGATCTCTAGGTCCCCCTCCATCTCTAATATTCTGTGAATATTCAACATTTTAGTTTAAAATATCCAGATAATAGAAGGTGGAAGGTAGAGAGGCCTTTATTAGTAATCCCCCCACTTTTCTGCTTCAATTTGTGTGGTGGGAACACCTCGGGAATGTATTTCTCTGACAAAATTCTTGGGACATTTTTGCCCCACCCCACTCCGTTCCCTGGTGACATTTTGTAATTTAATTCTTCAGGATCTGCCTGATTTAGAAGATATAGAAGTTAATGAGACCTTTCCAGAAAATTCAGATGAAAACGTAAGTGTCATCAATGATGTGAGTTTTTTTCTCTTTACATGTTTGGTTTAATATCATAATTCTGAGCCATATTTTAATTCTTGAGTCTACAAAGTAAAACTTTATAACACAAATGCAGCACAATGAAGTCTTTAACATTTTCTTAACTGTTTAACATTTTCTTCATCAATGCATGCCATATGAATCATTTATTGATCGATGTAAAATAGGAAATTATCTAATCACTTATAGTTGATAATAGTATATTTTCAAATTAACCACTTAACTGAAAGCTGAGAGAAAAGGAGGAGAGGTGAATTTTGGAGTTAGGAGTTTGGAGTCCTGACTTTTATGACTCCAAGTGACCTTGGGCAAGTCATTTCAGAGATGAATGAATGAATGGATGAATGAATGAATGAATAGGTAGTATGTTTTCATTTGTGCAGTGGTTTACTAAGTTCAAGGTGTACAGAGAAAAGCCAGCCAGCCCCTGGTCTCCAGGAACTCACATTCTAATGGAGGAGACAAGTCAGCTAGGAGGTTCTTGCTGTAAGTCAGATGGAAAAGTCCCGTAGTCCTTAGGATGCAGCGGCAAAGCAGGTGGCAGAAGCACCTTCTCTGACGTCATTTCCACAGACAAAACCACGTCAGCTTTTGATGCTGAGACAGAGCCAAGGACTTGGGTAACGGCTTTCCTCACGCCTTCAAGAGCTGTGGCCAGCCTACATTACCGGGGGAATTGCCTCCTGGGATCATGACTGTGGACACTGGGCTGGGAGCATTGCTGCTCCCAAGGCCTTCCGGCTGAGCCCTGGGGCCAGGTCTCCCATCAGGGTCAGAGGGGAGATGGTGGTCAGGATATTGTGGTGCTGGTCCGACTGGCCTTGTTGCTTCAGCTGCATTGGCTTGCCTGCCCTATGAGCGGCACTTGGGTGGCAGATAGTGGGATGGCTGGCCCCTTCCTTACAGCAGCCATCTTGTGTCTTTGAGCTTCACTTTAGGAATAATAACAGGTGTCCTGTCTATCTCTTACGCTTGTAAGGAAAGTATTATTGTTATGATAATGCGGACATCTTTTATAATTTTACAATCCATTTTGAAGTAACATTATTAATGCATCGTACCCAACTCCACTGCAATGTCATTTGGCTCGTCACCCACTTAGAATACTGTTTCCTTGGAACTGGCTGCCCCCTGTAGTATTGTTTCACCTAATGTGTTTTTGCAGAACTGATTAAAGATATGTCAAGATATGTCTGTTCACTGTATCTCTGTAATATGGACATATTAGTCCTTTACATGTGTATAAGACCACGTGTGTAAAGAGAGTAAAGAGAGAAAGAGATATAAAACATGTGTGATAGGATGAAGATTAGTCAAAACTGTTGGTCCACTCAGCCATCAGAGACTTTTTGCACCCATATACTCACTTACTTGTAAAGGAAGGATAAACAATCCCCTTACATTTATTAAGCACCTACTTTGGGCCAAGCACTAGTGTAAGCCCAGAAATAGAGAAACAAAAATGAAACGGGTCCTTCTCCTCAAGGAGCTTACATTCTTTTGGGAGGACGCAAGAGACTTCACGTAGGAGGTGATGCTTGAACGCATCTTTGAAGGAAACTGGGATTTCTAAGAGACAGGGTTAAAGAGAGTGCATTCCAGGCCCAAGGCTGTACAAAGGGGTGGAGAGGCAGGAGGGGGCAGGACCAGAACGGGAGTTTGGCTAGACTGTGGCAGGTGACTCGGAGGTGAGCAATGGGGCTGTGGAAGGCTTTGTGTGCCAGCTCTGGATGGGGATGTGACCGCCATCCTGTATCGGGGTGGGGGGGGCCTCCGGGGGGGGGGGCTCCCGGGCCACGCTTTAAGGCCTCGTTCCATTGGCAAACAACACACGCCTCCTCTCTTGTGGTAGCGTACAACAGCCAAATGACGTGTCACGGCAGTGCTGTGGTGATAGGTTTTCAAACTGTATATCTTGTTTTTCCTTTTCATAGAAAGCTTCTTTTCCAAAAATTGAAATAATTTCTGGAGCAAGTGATGACAGTGATCCCGAGCTGGAGGAAGGCTGCACAGTACAGGAGGAAATGTCCGCAGATGCACTTTCTAATATATTTAAAATTTCTAAAGACACCTCAAAAAAGGCCATCACACCCCTTACAGAAATAGTGAAAGCAGAATCAAACAGGGAGTTGGAGACCAAAAATGACCACACGCAGCTAGCAGAACCATTGATTCAAGAGGTCGGTAAAAATCCACCGGAGGAGTCGCTGGTGTCCCCAGCCTGCAGTGAAGAAAACCGCGACACTCTTTCTGGTGTAGACCAGAACGATGCTCGGGCTTCACCCTCCTTGTCAGGTAACGTGGCGCTCCCTCGCTACATGAGAGGTTTGTTTTGTCACTGAAAACACGCTCGTACAACTTCAAAAACAGTCTCAGGGAGGAATCTGGCCATGCTGAGGGGACTTAAAGCTGGAAGAGGCGGGAGCTGAGGGGTCATTTGGTCAAACACCTTCATTTTATAGAATGAGGAAGGTAAGGCCCCCAAAGACCTATTGTCCCGTAGAGCTGGGCCCAGGCTGCCTGTTACTAATCACAGATGGTTGTCATTTTGTCCTCTCTGTGGTGCCTGTAATATCCAATGATATTTTAAAACAGCAGATTCTCAGCTGTGAGGTAGAAATCAATGCCCTAACATAATCTAGAGTTTGTTTCATTATGGAATCCTTCTGTGCTTCCGATCCAAAAGACGACTCTTAGTCTGCTGTGTTTTATGTATTTATCAGGAGCATTTCTTTATGAATCCCAATTTAACTCTGTGAGGTAAAATTTAATCCAGCTTTGACATTTCTGTCACTAGATTAGGATTGGGAGTATAAAACTAATACTGTGGAGCCTGCTACCCTTGGGCAGTACTTTGATATCTAGTAATAATACTGAGTTACTTAGATTTATCTAGTAATGCCTTAAGGCTTCCCCCCTGCTTTCTTCACAGCAACTCCTATGAAATAGGCAGCATGTTATCTCCCCTATTTTACAGATGAAGTAACTGGGATTCAAACTGAATAACTTTCCCAGGATCACACAGATAGTGAGGGCCAGCACAAGGCCTCAGACCTCGGTGTCCCATGCTTGGTCCCGTAGTCTCACCTCTGACTAAGATAAATCGCATCTACCAGCTGAATGACGTTACTCAAATCCTGGCTTTCCCCTTTGCTGTGCTGTTTTGGTGTGGCATCCCTTACTCTGGACCGTGTGATAATTCCAATTAGAGTAGCCATAGTGACTCATCCAAAAAGCTGCAACAGCTTCCTTCCTTCGAGAAGCTGAACAAGACTATGTCCATTACAGAACTCTAGCAACAGAGAATATATTGCTCCTTGAGGAGCTGGTTCCCTGGACATAATAAAGCCAAATTCTACTGAAGAGTGAAACAAACCTTTTTAAAATCACATACTTAATAAAGAAATAACATGAAATTTTAGTAATGAAATTCAAATTTTTAATAATCATTCACAACAAGTGAAATCATTGAAGATGAAAACATAATACAGTCTAATGGCAGAAATTCTGGTAGTGTTGTCATCTGCCCCACATATTGGTCACATAATAGAAGGAAAAATTGCTCTAATGACTTCACTGATTCTTCACTAACTTCAAATAACTCGAACTTTTTACACTTTCTGTCCCACGGACTGTCATTCCTACACTCAGACTTGGTGATGATTCTCTTGTTGATGACAAACACATGGACAGTCTGTTAAAGTTTTCTTGAATTGGGAAGGATAGCAACAGATAAAGCTAGGAACCCAAAATTCATTCGATCCTTGCTGAATGATGAAGGCTGATAAATGTGTAAATGATTCCTGTTTGACTTTCACTCTATTTTTTAAATTATGGGCATGCTCATTAATACTGTTAGCACATCAGTATGGCTTCTGTTGAATCAGGCAAAGTGTTGAATATTACTGGACCCTATGGATGGAATGTAGCCTTAGCTTGTTATAGGGGCTAACCATCATGGTTAGATGGATTAAGTAGCCAGCATGGGACATTTCCAAAGAATAAATCTGTGACCATTCATAAATTACTGAAGTTCAGAATTATGTTAAATAATTTTCTGTTAAACAGTGAATATGTATATAAAGATGCCATGAATATCATTGAATTATGGAAAGTTTCTGTATATATTAACTTGTCTTTTAACAGAATAAACAGATTTCAGTAACTATGTCTCATATTTTCAGAAAGGAGGCTGATATTTTGTATTGCGTTTCAACAGGAAGTGATGCTTCAAAAAAGAAGGTGCAGTTTTTGACAGAGACTGAAAATTTCATTATGCATGGAATCAAGGAAGGCAATGAAGACATTGAATTTGGGCTAGATTAAATATCAGAGATGGACAGTGTGGGACAGGTAGCATTTATATTCCCACAGGTGTATATGCACACCAGTTTTAAGGTGTGCTGATTATTTGGCATTGCCCCACCATCCAGAGGGTCCTATTTCCAGATCGGTAGCAGAGGGTGGGGAAAAAAGATGGGGCACTCTTATTGTTAAGGGAGAGCACCAGGGCTTGTCCTCTGACAAGTACCTGTAGGTGATAACTAAAGCTGAATTGATCTGTCTATTTAGAATGTTGACTTATTCTTTTAGCTTTTGTAGAGGATGTGAAACAGTATTCCTCAAATTCATAGTGTGTGATTTTATTTTTTTCTGTTTAGCTTTGGTTTACCATATTGTTTAACTATATGTTTTCCTTTGGAGCTTTATAAAAATTTCAACATCAGTTTTGAGAATTTGTGTTTATTTTCATGTATAATTCTATCCTTGAAACATACACTGAAGGCATATTTATCCTGTTAACATTTGCTTATAAATTTGGAACAAATTATTATCTTATTATAAACTTAACACTTCTTTAACAGTACAAAATAGTATGTTCAGTTCCATTCAACAAATATATATTAAGCCCATTCTGTGGGCAATATACTATGAGTAAATTCCCCAAACCATAAAATCTGAAATATTTACCTTTTTGATAAAAATTTAAAAAGAAGGAAAATTGGTAACAGAATGCAAACTTTAACAAAATGTCATAAATAACATTCTCTTCATTGTCTGAATATGTATGAAATATGTTTGGTTTGAGGTTTTTTAAATGTAGTTGAAAGAAATGGGTATGTTCTAATTGTGCTAACTTTATTTTGTATCATTTTATATAAAATTTCCATATTTTCTTTGTACTCTTCATATTTGTCATTTTAAATGACACAATAGTATTCTATACTGATATCTCACAGTTTATTTAGTTATTTCCTAATCATGGACCCGATAGTTTAATTTTTTTGCTATTACAAACAAAGCAGCCATGAATGCTTTTATAAAGTTAGATCTTTATTTTTATTTTATTTGTTTTTTACTTTTTTATAACATCCATTCCCTTGGTGTATGCTCAGTTTTGTAACTACTATTGCACATTGCCAAGTTGTACCAATATATTATCCCATCCGTGATTTATGTGCCTGTTTTTTCATAGCCCCATTGAATTCTGTTGCTTTCTAAACTATTTTTACCAATTTTGTGACTGTAAAACAACATTACAAGTTGTTTTAATTTACATTTCTGTGATTATTAGAGAGCTTGAAACATTTTTCAGGAATTTATATGAACAATATGTCTTTCTCCCCTTGAGGTACTCATTTCACAAACATTAAGTGGCTCCTGTATACAAGGTGCTGGGAATACAAAGACAAAATAAAAACAGTCCCTTTCCTCAGGGAGTTTTTATTCTACTGGGGTGAGGAAAGTAGAATATTTACTGGGATAAGAGCTAACAGCCAAGGGATGTAGGACAAGCTTCCTGTAGGAGGTTTGCCTGACTCAAGCCTTGAAGGAAGCTAAAGATTTTAAGTTGAGGCCAGACCCCTCTAACCTTAACTAGGGCCACCCCTCTTAACTACCCCCAACCCTCACTGGCTCATGTGAAAGGTACCCATGGGGCAACAAAGGTGAAGACCAGCATATTTCAGTTTAGGAAGATCCTGAGCCACATTGCAACATGTGGACACAACCCCCTGATCTGGCAGATGGGAAGGGGGTCTACAGAGGGTAAAGATCACAGGCACATGTCATACAAGTGACGTCCCTTCCTTGAGCTGAAGTCCTCTGACCCTAAACCTCATATTTCCCTTTTCTCTCATGCTGATCTTCACTGCCCATCCCCTCCCCCCTAATCCCAAGGCAAGGCATCTTTGCTCAGGTGCACAGTCATAGAACATAGGATCCACCCAGGGTCACACAGTAAGTTGTCACTGGTAGGATTCAAATCCAGGTCTTCTGAAACTAAGATCAGCACTCACTCTACTACACTGCTATGCTGTGCTCTGCTCGCCATGCATGAGGCCTCGTTGGGCCACTTCCTGTGACACTTTGGGCGATTCATTTAAAGCCTCTGGCCTCAGTTCCCTCATCTGTAAAATAAGGGGGTTAGACTAGATATCTAAGGCCCCTTCTGGCTCTAAGTCTATAAATTTGGGTCTTAAATGTAGCTCGGTTCTGACTTATCCCAACCCACTGGGAAGTTGGGTCCTCAGATGGTGGCTACGTCTGAGGGCTCTAGGGTCACCCCTGAGAGGCTGGGTGGTCTTTCTAATACCGTTGGCTCAAGCCCTCATTCTCATGTTCTCTCCAATATTAATCATCAGTGATTGCTGTCCCACTATCATTTAGCCAGTTTATTAATGCCCCACTCTCAATTTAGTCAGATATCTCCATTGATATCACCAGGAGGCAATTAACATCAATTAAGTTTTACAAAGGGATATTTACTGAGAAGATAGAGCAAGAACAGAAGTCAATCAGTAAAATAAGTATTTATTAAGCTCCTGTTTACCAAGCACCGTGATAAGGCACAAAACAGTTCCTGTTCTCAAGGAGTGCACAGTCCAGTGGGGAAGATATGAAAACAAATAGGTACAAACACGCTCGTGCACGCGCACACACACACTCACACATACACACACACACACACACACAATGCACATACATGATAAATTACAGACAATCAACTAAGGGAAGGCGGGTTTCCAGGGAAAGACTGGGGTGTTAGCTGGTACTTGAAGCACCAGGGAAGACAGGAGGGAGAGATGAGATGGGAGAGAATCCCAGGCGTGGGAGATGTCCCACACCTGGGAGATGGGGTATTGAGCAAGAAAAAAGGAATCCAGTGTCACTGGATCAGAGTATGTGGGGGGGGGTGGCTAAGTAAGGTGTAAGAAAGCTAGAAAGGCTAGGGAGCAGGTTATGAAGGGCTTTCTATTATATTTATGTTACAGGATTTTCTAGTTGTTCTTGGAGGTGATAGGGAACCATTGGAGCTTCTTGCTTAGGGGCATAACAGAGAGTTTTGCTTTAGGAAGGTCAATTTGATGGCTGAATGTAGGATGGACTAGAATGGGAAGAAACGAGGTGGGGAATCCAACCAGCAGGCTCTTGCAATAATTCCAGGTATGAGGCGATGAGGGCCTGGACCAAGGTGATGGCAGTGTCCGAGGAGAGAAGGGCACATAAATGAGAGAAGGTATGAAGGTAAAATTGGCAGGAATTGGCAACATTGGATGTGAGGTGTGAGAAAGAGGGAGGAGTTGAGGATGACACCCAGTCTGTGAGCCTGGGTGCCTGGAAGGATGATGGTACCCTCAACAGTAATGGGGAAATTCAGAGAAGCAAGGGTTTTTTTGAGCGGGGGCGGGGGGGAGATAAGTTGTTTTGGACATGTTAGGTTTAAGGTATCTACTGTACATCCCGCTAGAGATGGCTAATAGGCAATTGGAGATGTAAGAGGTTAGGAGAGAAGTTAGGGCGACTGCTGGTGGAGTTCTGAACTGCTTCAACCATTCTATAGAGCGATTTGGAACTATGCGCCAAGGTCTATAAAACCATGCGTACCCTTTGACCTAGCAATACCACTACTAGGTCTGTATCCTCAAAGAGATTAAAAACCAAAAAGGAAAAGGACCTATATGTACCAAAATATAGCAGCTCTTTTCTGGAGGTAAAGAATTAAAATTTGAGGGGAAGCTCATTAATTGGGAAATGACCGAACAATTTGTGGTGTGTGATTATGATGGAATACTGTTGTACTATAAGAAATGATGAGCAGGATGCTCTCAGAAAAAACCTGGAAAGACTTCCATGGGCTGATGCAAAGTGAAATGTACTGGGTTTAAAGTAACAGCAATATTGTAAGATGATCAGCTGTAAATGACTTATCTATTTTCTGCAATACAATGATCCAAGACAACTCTGAAGGGCTTATGATGAAAAATGCTATCCATCCCCAGAGAAAGAACTGATGGAGTCTAAATATAAAATCAAGCATATTTTTTTTACTTTATTTTCCTTGAGTTTCTTTTTTTTCTATGTTTTCTTTAACAACATGACTATTATGGATGTGTTTTGCATGACTACACATGTATAACCTATATCAAATTGCTTGCCTTCTCAATTGGGGGGCAGGAAGGAAGGGAATGAATGTTAAAAATTGTTTTTCCATGTAACTGGGGGGAAATCAAACACAAAATAAAAGCTAAAAGATAAGTTAGGGCTGGATAAGTAGATTTGAGTATCAGCAGAGAGATTATAATTGAATCCATGGGAGCTTATGAGATCACCAAGTGTAGCCAAGTGTAGTATGGAGGGAGAAGAGAAGGACAGAGCCCGGAGGGACCCTCCCTGTTAGCAGGTGTTAACAGGTTAAGTGACTTGCCTAAGAAGTAAGAAGAAAAGGAAGTGAAAGCATCAATTGTAGACTGCCTTCTCATGTAGTTTAGAAGGAAGAGAGGTATGGGATGGTAGAAAGTGGAGACAGATGGATCAAGTGAGGTTTTTTGGGGATGTGGGAGGCATGGACATGTTTATAGGCAGTAGGGAAGGAGCCAGTGGATAGGGAGAGGTTGAAGATATGTGAGAGAATGGTGATGACAGAGGAAACAATCTGTTGCAGAAGATGAGATGGAATGAGATCACTTAGGCATGTAGAGGGCTTACCTTGGCAAAAGGAGAATGGGCCACCTCTTCATGTGAGTCAGAGGTGAAGGAGGAGATGGTGATAGAAGGCATCTGGGGAATATGAGGGAAGGAAAGAAGAAGAGAGAGCTTTCAGAAAATGGCCCCAATTTTTTTCAGTTGCAATATGAGGATATAAAGCAAGATTCTCAGCTGAAAGAGGTTTGGGGAGAGAGAGAGAGAGAGAGCTATGGAAGGTTTAAGGAGAGATGAAAAGGTTTGGAAAAGTCACTGTGCTGAGTGGCATAGTGGGTTAATTAGAGAGTTGTAAAAGAATTACCTTGTAGCAGCAAGGGCCCAGTTAAGATTATGTAACATAAATTTGTAGTTGATCCAGAAGTACAAACACATCTTCTAAGCTGGGTCACATTCTCCCCTCTACCACTTAGTGAGAGTGAACTCAAATTTAAAGTGGTTGCTATTCATTCATCCCACCAAGTTCACTTCTGAAGGCAAACTATTTATAGCCTGATTGAAAAAAGTTGTCACATTGGCCATGACTGCCGTCAAATTGGTATGGACTCCAGTTCCTGGACTTTTGGTTACTCTTCTGACCTTTCAAAGCTCACAAGATTAGTCTGTTCCATCTCCTACACTTATTCACCTAAAAGCAGGAAAGAATGAAGCTTCACAATGACAGAAAACCAACAGTCCATCCATTCCTGGCCACACATCAGGTATGGAGGGGAG